GATAAATTAATAAATATAATAGTTCCATCGTTACTAATTTATAGAGTTTAAAACCATGAACCAGAAATGTGGCCTACAGAAATTAACGCTGGTTCTGTCGATCGAACCGGTTTGAAACCATGAACCACAAATCTAGTCAGTTATCGAGAGAGAGAAAAAAAACAAAACATTTGTGTTGTAATTTGGGATAAAAGGCTAAAACCCTAAAAAAGCTTTGAAGCAGAGCAGAAAGAGAGCAGAAGAGGAAGAGAAGGTAGAATGAGCATAATCGCAGGGTCGTACGAGAGATACATATGGGGTTTCAAGCTTAAACCCTCCAAGCACGACGCCGATAACCAAACCCTAACCCTTTCCCCTCTCTTCTCCTACCCTTCCCACATCTCCTCCATCACAACCGTTGCTTGCTCAGGCCCCGCCGCTGCTTCCGGCGGCTCCGACGATACCATCCATCTTTACGATCTCCCTTCCGCCTCTTCCCTTGGCTCTCTCCTCGACCACAATCACACCGCCTCCATCACTGCTCTCTCCTTCTACACTCCTTCTTCCCTCTCGTTCCCTCGCAATCTCATCTCCGCCGCTGCTGATGGCTCCGTCGCTATCTTCGACACCGACCCTTTCGTTCTTCTCAAATCCTTCCGTCCTCATAAGAAGGCAGTCAACGATTTGGCTATTCATCCTTCTGGGAAGCTCGCTCTTGCGGTTTACCGCGACGAGTGCTTCGCGATGTTGAATCTGGTGAGAGGAAAGAGGAGTTTCTGTTGCAGGCTAGGCCACGAGGCCAGCCTTGTCAAGTTCGATCCGACCGGTGAAAGGTTTTTCATGGTGGTCAATAGCAAGGTTGGAGTTCATCACTCGGAGGATGCTAAGCTTCTTCTCGAGCTCGAAAATCCTATCCGCAAGCGTATTCTATGCGCTTCTCCAGGAGAGGTGAGATTGAATTTATCATCTCTCTCTAAATAAACTTTGAGATTATTGGCAGAAAGATCTCCTCACAAGACATCATGGTTTTGTCTTCTTGGTCTCTTTTAATGCTTGGTCCTATCCTGCAAACAGATTTACTCTCTTCACTAGATAGTTGCTTCTTTTGTTCAATACGATTCCTTTGCCTAAATAGTGTTGTTCTTGCTCGTTATTGATAGTGTGTTTATTTCTTGAAATGGTGATGGCTTTGAATTATCAAAAATTGTATTCCTTGGCTCCTAAGATGTTTGCTTGATGTGCAACAGAGTGGAACTCTGTTTACAGCTGGTGAGGATCGGGCCATAACAGCTTGGGACACAAATAGTGGGAAGCTTGCTTATTCCATAGAGGATGCTCACCCAGCTCGAATCAAAGGTGTTGTCGTGCTTACCAGGAATGATAGTGACGGTGCATCAGAAGATCCATATTTGATTGCTTCTGCATCTTCTGATGGGATCATACGTGTCTGGGACGTGCGAATGGCGGCTAAAGAGAAGGCAAAACCATTAGCCGAGACAAATACTAAATCAAGGCTTACATGTCTTGCCGGGTCAGCTCTTAAATGTGAGTTCATTTTTCAGAATATAAAACGTACAAAGGCTCCTACAAGTTGTGATGTATGATGAATCTCCACCTTTCTCTGTTTATTAAGCTATGAGACGGCCAAATATTGGGAAGCAAGCTCAGAAGGTAGAAGAAGGGAATGAGAAGTCAGGATGAGAGCTGTTTTCTGATGCAAGTTTTGGTAGAATCTTAAATTATGATCTAGTAGATGTTTTTTGTTGAATTACATCTATAAACAATGTCTTAAATTGTGAAAGAAACC